ATAGACGAAGAACATGTAAAAAGTCGCAAAATCCTAAAGTGGTCAATAAGCCATCGGGAGGAATTTTGTCATTGATTAAAATTTAAAAATTTTGCCCAGTTATTCATTCACAGCAGTATTTCAACCTTCAATGATCAATACGATATAACAACAAGAGGCATACTTTACTTGCGAGATGATTTTCTTTATAGTTTATCATGTGAATGAGATATGTCTAGTATACGACGTAGGGGGGCACTGCTGATTTATGCACTTTCGGTAGGCCGTATATGCATGAGATGGTGCTCCCTGTGGGTATTAGGTTTTCTTAAGTTTTTGGTGATATATACCCCTTACCTTTCAAATCCTTTAATAGGTTTGTTATTTCTCTTTCTACTTTCCCTGTCTGATCTTTCATTATTTTTGGCTTCTGAAACTTGCTGCCGTCATCCAGTATGGAGTTCATCTTGTTTATATTAACCCTCCTGTCGATAATTACTATCTTCGGTCCCTCATCCGGTTTAGTAATAACTATATTTTTATTTCGTCTTAGTCATTTAACAGCCTCTCGATGCTCTTTTGTGAGTATATTATGAGGCTTATTCTTATTCTTCTGTCTCTACTGATAGCAGCAGTCTACCAGGGTTGATTTGAATATTTCGGTGTCTTCATTACAGGAGGTGACCAAGTCCCCTGTTTGTATATAGAGGTTCTCGAACTGTACATCAGGGTCGGTTTGACTTTTTATTATGTGTTAACTGCGATATATATTGTCCCACTCATTCAAATAGTTTAGTGAGATTCCTAGTTTAGCATATTTGACAGCAAATAGTACAAGCATTGAAAGACACACTGTTTTGACCTTGCTTCATCAAGCTTGACAGAAGACTAGCAAAGATGGTTGGAGTTTTTTACTATCAGTGAGAACTTGAATTTCTCGAAAGTATCAAAAATTCTCATGTGATGTAATTATTACTGTAAAAGCCAGCAAAGAGATCTCTATTCGTAACTTCTCGTCTAATCTGTACAGTTACTTAGGGGGCTTATATATGAAATTTTAAGTGACAAAAATGGTCAGAGATTATTTGTCAGTTAGTAACAAAACAAGTCGAAGTGTATGAGAAGTAACAATGTTCAGAAAATAGTGAATAATTTTGAGTAAATGAAAATCCATGTAGTCTTGTTTTTTTTTTACTTATTTTTATAGCTAGTTTTCACTCCTTTGTTCTCCTGTTTCTCATCAGTTACTTCCCAATGTATAAGTGTTGACTTGCAAGGATTTGACTGGTTTCAGGATTTTATCATGAACTGACAGTCGTTAGAGAACCATTGGAAAACCTGCATGGGGAGTACTGAACAGCTGTCTCGTCCCACTAGTTTGAAAATCTACAGCAGTATGCACCCATATCGATCCAAACCCAGGACCTTCTGGTTACAAGGCGAGCTAGCTCGTAGACCATTAAGCCAGTGGGACTCATTGGTTCAATGGCCATTGCATGAATTCCAACTCCTACCAATTCACAATGTGGCGCGACCACTAGCGAATGTCAGTCCTCGTGAGTATTTGTGCTCACACCCGACCTGCAGTACCTTACTGGTCACGACTTCTCACTAGAACTCAAGCTGAATATTTTCAAATGATCATTCAACACTTAACTAATTAGTTGACAACTCTATTGATTACACAGTCATTTCTCATACTCTTTGACTTATTTTGTTACTAACTGACAATAACCTTTGACCTTTTTCGTGAATTAACATTGTATATATAAACACCTAAGTCACTGTATAGTTTTCAGGTGAAGACACGTTTTTCTTACCTATTTTAGACTAGTCATAGATTCCTATTCTTGTTCACTAATAAATGAATACCTAATTGGATAAACTACTGATATTCATCTTGTATTTCTCGGTGATCAGTCATGTTGAACCAGGATGTTCAGTCTCCATAGACATGTCAACTCCTAGTACGGATGCTTCAGTGCTACCTGATGATTATTAAGATGTTACTGGTTGGATAGTAACTAGCAGCAGAATTCAGGATGTGTATTTCATCCTGTGTGGGACTCGTCATCTGGACATACCTGTAATTCCTAGCGGGTGGTGGTGATCTCTTCACTGGGACTTGAACTCAGCACTCGCTCTTCCAAGCGCCAAAAGTATTACCAAACAGTTACTTGAGCCACAACGGCCATCTCTTGTGCAACAGGTATTAAATATAATTAGTTTAAATTAATTTTGTATTTCCCATTGACTGCTTATACTCATATCCACATTATACTTTAGAATCATGACACTGGCTGGCGACAGTTGCACTAAAATCACAAATTGGTAGGAATTAGAATTCATTGGCTATTGAATAGAGCTGTCGGTGGCTGAAAGGTCTGTGAGCTTACTTTGTAACCAGAAGACTCTGGTTTCGACCCCCCGGTGGTAGGTGGATACTTGTGATGAGTCCCTAATGGTTGTCCAGTACTCCCTGATTGTTTTCAATACTTCTCTAACTGATATCAATCCGTAGTCAAACTTGAAACAGATGCCATGTGTCTAGTCCTTTCTTTGGTGCAGGAAACCAAAGTCCAAGGCTTCCTGTGGCCGATTACCTCCGACCATCTAATATCATCACATCAATGTGCACCGTGATGGCGAGCTACCTAGTGGCATGGTGGCTACATTTCAAAGCTGACTGATAGAATTCAGTCCGCAGCAAAAAAGAGGAAGGACTAGACAGACTACACTAGTCACTGACTGTTGTCCATTCAAAAGTATCCAATACAGTTCTACAGGAGGTCAATCGCCAGTGAACCCGAATAGCTCAGTGGTAATGTCTCCGATTTGCACGCAGGTTCCAGTCTCAGGAGAGACATGAGTTCCTTCGAGGCTGCAGATACGCCCTACTGACTGGTGGGTGCCAAATAGTATGAAACCTATTTGGAAGGTTCCCTCTTAAAGAAAATATGGAAAATTTCCAAAAAAAGTTTAAAGTAGTTCGTTTTAATGCAGGAAATTTGCAACATCTAATATTATTGTTCCCTTGGGTTCCTAGTGAAACATAGAACTTCAACTACACGTCTCCACTTGCTTCTGTCTTCTGCTGTACTTTTCACCTGCATCCATGTTAATCCATACTGTTTCAAATCCTCTTCACACGATCTCCTCCATGTCACCCTTGCATTGACGTCCCACTCGCCGCTTCCCTTTCGGATTCCACTCGAGCTATGGCCTGACGCGCGATGTCACCCAACGGCCTCCTCAGCGAGTGTCCAATCCATCTTTACTTTCTCCTACATATTTGTTGGGCGACTGGTTCTTGTTTTGTTTCTTCCCATAGTTTCTTGTTGGTAATTCTTTCCGGCCATCTGATCTTCAGTATAGAGCCAGCGAAGACAGTTGTTGATAAAGGTCTGCAACAGGCTGTTAGAAATATTCTTTGTGACCCACTGGCCAACTTTCTGATCCGTATAGAAGAACTGACTGACTTGACGTCGTTTGTATTGAAAATCCGAATTCTGTTGTTGATGCAGGCTGAGTGACGAAGATTTCCAGATTGGTTTCAGGTTGAATGAATGAATGTGTTTCTTGCCTTCCCGATTCTCGATTTGACAACCTCGTCCGTTCCTGCTGTAGTTGAGACAATGCTCCCTAGATAAGTGAAGTGAATGAAGTAACCTGTTTCAAATCCCTCCAGTTGATGGTGATTGGCGGTGGATGTTGTTGTTGTTGTTTGGTTATTTTCATAACCTCCATCTTGTCGTGGTCTGTGGTTATTATTTATAGTGAGTTAGTTAGTTAACTATTCCCTCTTCTTAAAAGTCAAGCTATAGAATGCAATTTTTATTGTTAGTATTATTATTATTATTGCTATTATTATCATCACCATGATAATGATGATGAAAATTACGTTAATTAAACACGAAGGCAAATAATTAGGAGAGAAAACAAAATAGATGATATGAAAAAATAATGAATGCTGCTGTTGGAAAACTGATAACCAGAAACAGGGAGGAAACAATCAAACAAACAAATAGGATAACTGAAAAGTGGGAAATTGAACAGTTGAAAAGGCACACACCCACACACACACTTACGCAGACGCACATATGAATAGATGAACTGTCAACTAGTGTGTGTGTGATAGTAGTAGTAGTTCTGTTGGCAGGCTTAGTGATTATTATAAAGGAATGTCCTTATTGTGTTATAAAATGGCAAGAGATCATAGAAAGAAGAAGAAAAAGAAAAGAAAGGAAAAAGCGAAAAATGTGGAGTGTTAAGCAGGAAAGTGTAGTATACGTGATCAAAATAAGTAACAAGATGAATAAATATATGAGGGGTAAATAAAAGGATGAAATTATTCTATAGAAGTCGTGTATTGCTTATTTATTTATTTGTTTATTTATTTATTTGTTTGTTTCAATGTTGTTGATTTTGTTTTGTGTGAGAGGTTTGTGTTGAGAAACCGGGGTAGGAGGGATGTAGATGTGGACGGGGAAGAAATTGTTTTGATGAATGTCATTTGACTTTGTTGATTTGTGTAGATGGGTGGGTAAATGACAGATAGATAAATAGATAGATGATAAATGAGATAGGCATGCTTGGACCTTCCTTACCTAGCTAGCACCTCTATCTATCTATCTATCCACATCAATCATTTCAGTTATTAAACAATGATAAGCAAATTGAAAAAGAAAGCAACAGCTTTTGTTTAGTGAAATGTGTTTTCACCTTTTCTAATATTTTCTAGCATTATCAGTGTTACCTTGTTGGTTGTTTATTGAATATGAATATGAATGAAAAATATGAATGTCACGCGTATTTCTACCTAAACCTCCACCCTCAGCTCCCCTGGTATAGCCCACTGATCATATATAATTGACACTGTGATGTATTGTTTTAAAAGTTAAAAATACACATGATTAAATGTACAACGTGTGTGGACAAGTGTATGTGTATGTGCTAGTGTTTGTATCTGTGTGTGTGTGTGAGCGTGTGCGCGGATTCGGGTGGGGATACGTACTCATCAACTATGTACAACAGGTTACTCGTTTATTTGTTTTGTTCTTCCTAGCATCAGAATTGAAATCTTTCATTGAAGGGATTATTGTGACACCGGCAACTTGTTTATCTTCGATCAGTTTCATTTCTCTGTTGATAATTAATAATTAAAAAAAAGAAGGTGAAGGTGTTTAAATGTGGTACTGTTTTTGATATATATATATATATATATATATATATATATACACGACAGTTACTGAGTAAAATATACTGACAATAAGTTTAGCAAAGATAAGTTACTAATGATGTGTGTACAAATATAGCTGTTCTTATGGATTTAGTTATACTGGGTGTACTCAGAAGAAGTGATCTTTATGCACTGGTGAACATGTACCAGTGTGATTGATTGGATAGAAGTGGTCGACCTCAGGTTGACCTTTTGGCTCCATGTGCAGATGCTTCGACCATATCTGATTATGAAACTTGAAGTAAATTGGTGGATGGTGACTAGCAAGTTGAATGGCTTTCTATCAGAAATCAGCCAGTGGTCCAAGGAAAACGGTCCTACCTTAAATCCCTCTAAATGTCAAACAGTCAATTTCACTTTTAAGCATAAATCTGACCTAAAAAAATGGTTAGTTCTCACGAGGTGTGCAACATAGATGGCACTGAAATAGAAACCAAGTCGGAAATTAAATATCTAGGCATCATTCTATCTGCTGATCTTTCCTGGTCATCTCATATCTTGAAGATTTCTAAGAAAATATTCCGTCTTACCTTCTACATCAAGAAGTTAAAATATTCTGGTATAACCCAACCCTTACTCTTACAATTCGTTAACTCTCGCATTCTTCCTATTATTCTTTATTGTTCTCCCTTAGTTTCTCCCGGGCCTCTGAAGAAAGACTATACCTTATTACGCAGGATGTTAAAAGATGTCAGCAGGGTAAGCAACGTGCCACTTAACCAGCTTGTTAATATTCTGGTCGACAGGCACATGGACTCATGTGAAAAATGAGCTAAATCCATTCTATCTAACTCACACCACCCTCTTCATTCACAACTCTCCCCTTGTATCTCATCAGACAGAACCAGAAGTCTATATAGAAAACCATATGCTCGCACCAGCAAGTACAAAAACTCAACCATACCCTACTTAGCTCGTGTTCTGTGTGATAAAGAAAGCATTAGGCATGATACCTATAACTTATTAAATAGTCAGTAGAACAACTGGATCCTGTCTTTCCAAATGATATCATTTATAGGTACAACATTTTCTTTCTTTCTTTTCATCTTCTCTCTCCTTTTTTATCTTTTTCCGTTATGTGCTGCTTTGTTTCTTTCTTCCGCTTATGCCAGTAAATATGATAGCACCTACTTTTCTAACACCTTCAAACACTGTTCAACTTTGGCTTTGCTACCGACATGCCAATATGTTGTTGTTAAAATTAACTGAGACTACCCATAATCTATGTAGAATTTTATTTATTGTTAATGAGCAAACTGGATTCAATACTGTAGTGAAATGCTGAGAATTCCATTCTGTATCGCAAGTACTGTTTTGGAATAAAGTAAATTATTATTATTATTAATTACACAATTAGATACATCGCATGTACAAGAAAGAGGGAGCTCTCGTGGCCCAAGTGGTCTAGTGAATAACACTTTGGCGTTTCAAGCTATGGGGACTGGGTTCGAGCCTCGATGGGAACACCATCACTCAGTGACAGAAGAATACAGGTACATCCAGATAAATAGCCAGTCCCAAATAGGGTGAAATGCGCGTTGTCCTGGATTCCACTGCTAGTCACCATCCACCAATCTACCAACTGGGCTAAGAACAGAAGCAACCAAATGAATAACTAGTGCTATATTATTTCGTTTAGTGGTTAGTGAACACATTATCGAAATAGATGAGTCATTTACGGTTGTATATGAAGTGCCAAACAATCTGCTTAAAGGTAGACGATTAAGTCTCCTAGCTATAGCTGAAGTTATATGGGTCAATAAGACTGAACTTGATCTATGAGGACAAAAAAAGTCCAATCATCCTCTATATTTTATTTACCTTAACCCATTATGTGGTTATTATGTGTGGAAATAATCAGCCCATATTTTAATATTTTATTATGTCCTTTATACTCATTTTCACCTAATTTACTTCACACGTTAATATTTATCACCCTTCGAATTTACACTTATTCTACGTCCTCATTATTTGATTACTGTTCACCATATGACCATTGTATTGTATTATGGTCATTTTGCATCCCTTGGACTTATATATTAAGCGTTTGCTTATATTTATGTAATAATCATATTTGTCCTCACTTCACCGACTGAATACAACTCACCTCCTTGAAATTTATACGTTTATGAATGATAAGTATGTAAGCAGGTCAATTAGTTGGTTAATCTCAGTCTATCCCATACATTTCAAATGCATTTAAACGAGAATCGAAACCACCGGACTATCATTCCATCTTTTTACTGAACTAATTCTGATTTTCAAGTATTGGTTTTGGAGGGATTTTGTTTGATCGGTTGGAGGATTTCATCATGACCTGGTATCAGTTTTGCTGAAGACAACGACTACTGATATTAAATGGCTGGAGGCAATCGGCCACAGGAAACCTTCCAACTAGGTTTCGTGTTAGTTGGCACTCACCGGGCAGTCAGCAAGGCGTATCTGCAGACTTGAAAGAACTCATATCTCTTCTCAGATTCGAACCCGCATCATCAAGTGTAGCAGTCCAGTGTTCGAACCTCGGTGGGTGTGTACTGTGAAGAGTCCCAAACTAGGACGAAATAGCTGTCCAGTACTCCCAGCTTTTCCAATGGTTCTTTAACTGATGCCAGCTCATGATGAAATCCTTCATCTACTTCTGATTTGACTTTATTGATTATTGTATTCTAAAATTCATGGATTTGTAACTGTGGAGTCTGGAGAATAAGTTATTGAAAACAATTGTTCGCTAATAATTTACTGACAACGTGTATTCGCATCGTGATGGTAAGGTATCTGGATTGGTGATCACAGTGCACACTTGACTGATAGCATTCAGTAACTCAGCAACACTAAGGACTAGAGGTACGACTCATCAATGTGTTTCCAAACAAATACGAGATAATGATATCCACATTTATGGATTTTGATTGTTTAAGATTGTTGCATGTCAATTCTTATTAATATATGATGAACACAAAAATCAAGTGAAGTGTTCCGTGCTGATAATATTCAACACTTTGATATCGTTCTGTAAGACATCGAAATTGATGCTCATATATCATATCTGATTGATGTGTAATAAGGTCTTTGCGTGTGTGTGTGTGTTTGCGTGTTTTATGAGTACTTTTGTCACACTAATCTTATCTTAAGGTATTGAAGGCACTTATCATTGCTTAGTTTTTGTTTACTAAATTTAGCTGAAATATCCATTCAGCGTATCAGTGATTTGTTGGAGGATTTCATCAAGAGCTAACATCAGTTAGAGAACCATTGGAAAACCAGCACAGGAGTACTGCCAGAGAGCTGTTTCCTACGTCCTAGTTTGGGACTCTTCATCAGTACGCACCTACACCAGGACCCTCTGGTTAAAAGGCCAGTGAGCTTGCAGACCATTAAGCCACTGGGACCCATCAATCCAATAACCAGTGCATGAATTCTAACTTCTGCCAATTCATGACACTTCACAATGTCTTCTCTGATGAGTTACTGCCTCACCTTCAACCTGCTGTATCCTACTGGTCACGGCTTCCCACTAGAAGCCCAGGTAACTACCTACCTGAATAGGGCCAGTCGCTAGTGAGCATCAGATGAATTTTCAAGTAATGGCTTTTATAGGAATTTAGTTTGATTGGCTGGAGGATTTCATCATGACCTGGCATCAGTTTTGTTGGAGGCAATCTGCCACAGGAAACCTTTCAACTAGGTTTCGTGCTAGCTGGCACTCACCAGGCAATCAGCAAGGCGTATCTGCAACCTCGAAGGAATTCATGCCCCTTCTGAGATTCGAACCCGCGTCACCCAGTGAGTGCAACAGTCAGAGACGTTAGGTATGCAAGAAGATTCTTTTTGTCAATTTTCCAACATATTCTGTTCAAAATGGATTATGTGGTTTAAGTGTTGAAGACTTTGACATCTGCCGGTCAGCAGATACAGTCAACTGCAGCTGGATGACTCTTATAAATGTCATTGCAAGTAATGTGTAAGCTTAGTCAGAAAATCTACTTCTACAAGTTCAGGGAAAATGAAAAAATACATTTCTGTTATTTCATGAAAAAAACAACAACAAACATACAAGACAGTCATCATGTCTCTGTCTCAGTGATTATTGATCAATGCAATCGAATGGACGATGTGGAAACGCGCACATATTCAGACATTTCAGTGTAAGAATCCATTTCCTGTGTGTGTGTGTATGTGCGTGGGTATGCATTTGTTTCTACAACAGATTTATGTTGTTATTTTCTGAGCTTTTTATGCACTACTTGTTTCCTCCAGAAATACGCTACAACTTATTCATGAAATAATCAAGTTTGGCGCCAATTTTTTTTTACTAACCACTACTGAAAACACAAGACAGGATTCTTTTTTCTCTCCAAAGAAACAGGTTCTATAAGGTTTTAAAACCTATAGGATTTTCTTCAAATTTCCACTTACTTCGCTAAGGCAGCACGAAAATATTTCATTCCTGCACACTAGCCACGCACTGTTCAACTCACAAAAAGTGATGTTGATAAAATAACACGCGAATTATTATGTGAAAAACTTATAAAACACCATTTTTCCTTTTTTTTAAACGCTGATTCAGTTGTTTTTATTCCTTTACGTTCCCAGTGGAAAACAGGGCTTCAAGCCTCTAGCTTGAAGTTTCTGTAGCTGTGGTGTTTATTTTTACAGGATGGGGTTGCTAGTCTCATGCCCAAACTTCCCTCTTCACCAGCTTTATTTCTGGTTAAGTGAGGTAAAGGAGTGCGCCGGCCGGGGACCGAACCCCGGACCATATGCATGGTCGGCGAGCGTCCTAACCGCTATGCCACCGACGCCTGATTCAGTAGTTCCTTTCTAATGTGTTATGATTTCAAAAGAATAGACATGGAACAAAGAGTACTCTTTTCGACAAATTCATCATCAGGTTCTACAATTA